AAAAGTGACAAATAGTTGTAATTTAAAATAGCTACATGTACATGTACAGTACAGTACATGTACATGTTTAAGAGACTTTAAGTCTTCGATACTTGGTCTGGGTCTTTTATGCTTTTGATTTCTCAAATTTAGCATTTTTAGTTAGAGTGGTCTCCCAAAATTAATCTCTGCATGTAGATCTAACACTATACAGTCTATTATTATTTATTATATTATTAATATTATTATTATTATTATTACACATGTACTATTATTATTCATATAGTTACATGACTGGTTGTGTTGAGTTCTTGATGAGTTGCCTAAAGAAGGAGAGAGAGCGTCCAGTAGCCTTCAGGGCAGTTGGTCAAATGGTGTTAGTGCTGAAGGATAGGATGGACCTTCAGCCAGTCATACAAATGGTGAAAACGAACCTACCCATTGGTAAAGACGTTGGGGGAAAGTAAGTAGTTTAGTACATGTAATAATGTACATGTACATACACATGCTCATGTACTTTTATTTTTTTATTGTACATGTACATGCCTAGTGACTACATACACTGAAATAGGATTTGGTTCTATTCCAGCATAAAGCCTGATTTACATTGCACAGTTAAGGCTATACGTTAAGACAGGAAGTGCTGTATAAACCAATGCCAACCGTTTACGTAACATAAGAATAGAGATAATTTCTATTCTTATGTTATGTAAACAGTTTCCATTGGTTTATACAGCACTTCCTGTCTTAATGTATAGCCTTAAGGTGGATTTACAATATTACGCTAGTCCTGACGTTACGTTGACACAGGAATAGAATCTGGTTCTATTCCAGCGGAAAGCACGCGTCAAAGGTCAAATCGCCCACACTTTTGATTAAAAATTGACGGTACGCTGGCCTAATGTCATATTGTAAATCCGCCTTTAACTGTGCAATGTAAATCAGGCTTAAAGCATCCATCAAAAGGTCAAGCTGCCCCCACTTTTGATTAAAAATTGACTTACATGTAGCCTCATAATTACAGTTTACAGTTTGTACATGTACATGCATGTGTAGATGTACATGTACACTGTACGGGTGTACATGTAGGGTTTCCCACAAAGCATGCTAAGGGCTGAGCTAAACAGAATGAGCTTCATGAGCTGACTATAAATACAGTACATGGCATTTTGGAGTAACTTTGAAAATTCATAAAAATTCCATATTTGATCAGAATCAGTTCAAACTTTCTACACAACATAAGGACATGTATATGTATCAGAAAAAGTTATTAAAATGGAGAAATATCTCAAAACCATTTTTGACGAAATTTGGCCTTAAGACCAAAGGCTATTATAGCCTTTGGTCGTTGGCCTGATTTTTGAGCAAATTTTAAAATTCATAAAAAATCCAAATTTGATCTGAATCAGCTCAAAGTTGATGCACAACACAAGAACATATATATGTATCAGGAAAAATTATAAAAATGGAGAATTCTCTCTTTATGATTTTTGCCAAAAATACCCTGTACTACAGCGTATTTGGCCTAATTTTTGAGCAACTTGACAATCCACTGACAAAGAAGCTGCATCCAAAATCCTATAGGAAACCCTGTGTACATGTACATGTGTACATCTACATCTGTACATGTATTAAAAGTGTATGACTTTATTTTATAATATATTTATTAGCAGACGAGGCAGTCGTGGTATTATAGTACCTGATCCAGCTGTCTTCCTCTGCATCAGTATGCTAGCAAGAGCCGTCGGTCCTAACATTGAGGTTGAGATTCGTCCGGTTCTTGATCAGATATTTGCTCTTGGATTGAGCATTGAACTCACCAACGCTCTTAAGGTATTAGCCCGTGAGATACCCTCACTACAGAAAGATATTCAAGGTCAGTTAACTTATATGTTCTTTTGTCCATTATTGTTATATTAATGCTGCTGCCTCTAATGTTATTTTTAAAAACTTGAAGGCTATTTTTATTACCATTATTATTGTTATTATTGTTATTATTGTTATTATTATTGTTACAGTATATTATTATTGATGTACATGTGTACATGTAGATGGTCTTCTTAAGATGCTCTACATGATTCTGCTTCATCAACAGTTCAAGCATCCTGGAGCACCCAAAGTCACCCCATCCACTTCCACAAGTATTGCTAATATACATGTACATGTACAATATAGCACTATACAACAATACTGTACTACATGTACATAGATCATGTCAAGATTCAATATTATTTTATTTCTTTGTTCTGCTTTAGGTCAGCTCTCCTCTACTCCATTCCCTGAATCTGACATTGGGAATATAACACTAGCTTTACAGACAC